TGACAGGGGGTGGCGCCGCAACCTCCCCATCGACCCTGCCTTGAGTGTGACAGGGGGGGGGGCCCCAACCCCCCAAACGGCCCTACCCTGAGCGTGACTGGGGGTGGCATTGCAACCTCCCGATCCGCCCTGCTCTGTGCATGACGGGGCGGTGCCCCAACTCCCCAATCGGCCCTGCTCTGAGCCTGACCAGGGGCTGCACTTAGGGATTGGGCCTGCCCTCTGCCACCTGGGAGCAAGCCTAAGCCAGCAGGTCGTTATCTCCCGAGGGGTCCCAGACTGCGAGAGGGCACAGGCCGGGCTGGGGGACCCCCCTCCCCACCCCCCCGAGTGCACAAATTTTTGTGCACTGGGCCTCTAGTAAGGGTATAAGACAGACACACACACACATATACATCATGACCAATGTTTTCATACTCCATCTTATTTAAAAACTAGAGGCCCGATGCATGAAATTTGTGTAAGAGTAGGCCTTTCCTCCCCCAGCTGCCGTCACCGGCTTCCCTCTGGCACCTGGGGCCTGGGCTTCCCTTGAAGCCCCGGCTTTGTCTGGACAGTCATCTGGAAGGACATCTGGTCTAATTAGCATATTATACTTTTATTATTATAGATTATCCAACAAACTTCCATAAAATACTTTATTAACACTAAACCAAAATCTTAAAATAGCTAAGGATCTTAGAAGTTATATTTCAGTGGACTCACTATAAAACTGTCAGAATTATAATTACAGTTGATTGAGCACATGATTTTACATATTTTTGGTAATTTTAAATGCTTGCTTTATATGCCATTCTGATAAGATCAGGGAGAAGACCTATGGCTATTTTATTAAAAATGTTACCAAACCATTCAGTTGTCCAAATATTAATTTTGATTATTTGAATTCTCATATAAAAATGCTGTGAGACATAATTTATATGAGAATTTTTTTCTCTGAAAAAGATGGCATATATAAAACAGTGGTAATTCAGTTTCCCTTATGTTTTGGAAATTTGGGGAATATTAGATTCAAGTCATTACTTACTAATCTCCATAAAGCAATGCTAACAGAACTCCTTTAAGAGGCTCTATATTTAATTTATTAATATGTATTTGAATTAGGAAAATATTTCACACTCATACACATAAATACTAGGGTTAGTTACAGAACTTCAGCTACAGATCAAGACTCAGATTTACAAAGTTTAAAAAGTATAGATAGATACACAAAATCTCACACTGGATCTCTACTTCCAATGGAAACAAGAAAAACAGATTGAAAAATGGAAACAGACAAAAAGACTGAAAAAACAAACAAAAGCCAACTAACAAACAAAAATGTCTATAATCTGTCATCTGATAGAGAATAGGTCCCCATCATAGAGAGGTTAACAATGATTAGATCACAAAACAAAATGCACAATCTCTGTTGTGACTAATGAGGAATAACCTAGACCTGTGCAAACCAGGATTGGAAACAAAGTTGGCCAAGAACAGAAACAAACACATAAACAGAAAAACAACCAAGCAGAAAAACAAAACATAGATCAGGGTGTCAATGAAGGTAAAGTCTTACTGCTGCTTCATTATGGGAACCAAGAAGAGTCATGCCTAGGCTTAAACATCCCATGAGTTGCATTCCTTAGGAAATAGTTTACTACTGGCTCCAGAAAGTGAGTCTACTTGAATATCTTGGTGGGACCTTCAGAGTAGTCAAAGTATAATTTTTAAATATTAAAAACAAAGCTAATATAAAATGATCATGTGTCACTTAATTGACTCACGAATGAGGGAACCAACAAGATGGATCCAATCAAGTTTTGATGGAATCAGTTTTTAAGATGCACTGGATGTCCCTGTGTCTCTCAAGACCTCTTGATTTTATCAATTCCATAATTCTGACTTGTGCCAGTGTTTTATAAATGGGCTGAGGCACAGTGACCACTTCAGATCTTATAAGAGACAAATGGGAGGGAAAAAATAGATTACCTGTTGTTTACAAAAATGCTTTACACACAAGAGAAACCAAGATGGTGGCATAGGTAAACACTGGAAATTGCTGCCTCGCACAACCACTTCAAAAATACAACTAAAAGACAAAACGGTCATCATCCAGAACCACAGGAAGGCTGGCTGAGTGGAAATTATACAACTAGAAGGAAGGAGAAAAG